AAAACATGGAGGAACAAAAAGATTAAATGACAGTAAAATATAAAGGATAAAGAGGAACCAGTTAAAAAAAGAAGAGAGACGAGAATAGAATAAGAATAGATAGATAATAAGAAACCCCGCCAACGAAAAAAAAAAAAATATCCCATGAAATAATAATATAAAACCTATTAGGGAAAGATAAGACCGATAAAAGAGGAAGAAAATAATGAAAAATCATCAGAAAGATAAATTAAACATAACCACAAGTGCATACTGCGTTTCCATGGCAGCCTTTTATAAACTCGTGATGGCAGAGAGAGGAAGTTGCGGTATGCTCTGCTGATTAGGGCCAACAAGCCCGAAACAGCTGTCCAGAGCTCCCCATCTTTTTCTCTTGGCATCACATGGTCTAATACCTTCTTTATTTTACACTCGTAGTTAGGTTGGTGGTTTGCCGAGTATTCGAAAAATTACAACCGATTGGAGATTTATCTTTGTCTTTCTCACCTCTATCTGAGCGAAGACCACCTCTCTCCATCACATACAGCAAAACTGCTGGGCAATCTGTCTTGAAGTTCAGCTTGACACTGCGTGTGGTTTAGAGACAGAGAAGAACTTTAACCACTTTGACAACCATGGGCTATCTGCTAAATAAGACAGAAACTGATGTAAAGAGGAAATAGCGACCTAAAATAAGAAAAAAGGGGTACCTATTAAAATTACTGAGACTTATGAAGGCTCTGGTCCGTGGCTGGTAAGTGACAAGGACGGAGGAAAAATAGTACGAAAAGCTACAATATGAAGCAAAATTTGGATTATCTGATGACTTACGAAGAAAAAGGCTGAAGATGTCCCCCCGTTGATAAGGAAAAAACAGACAACAAAGTTGCAGAAAAAAAAACACGAATAAAAAAGAAATGTAGTCAGGTTAACGATATAACGTAATGTTTTTTCGAATTGTCCCGAGATACCGTATCAACGTCACGACTCTTGATGTTCATCGGTGCCTCTATTAACACGAAATCTTCGGCCGCGTAGCTTGGGAACCCAGGAGGCTCGTACGACCCATGTCACTATTAGTGGGAACGTGAAACATTACGTGAGGGCTAAAATGTAGAAACGTTACTTATAGAGAAAAACGTAATTTAATGAATTTAGATTTATTAATAATATGGATGGAGATAGTGAAGATGAGAACGAGAAGAGGAAATAAAATATTGTTGAATGAACGATAAGATTATATGAATTGATTAATAAATATTAATAGCGTAATGTCGGATATTGGATGGTTTATAGAAGGACTAATTTATAAAATTTAATATAAATATGTTAGATGTATGTTTAAGACCCAAAACGAATATTTGCGTTGTACATATATCGAAAATAGATGGTATAAAAATTGGGAAGGAAATAAGAATTCGAAATAAAAGGAATTTTATAATTCATAGAGTGAGAAAGAAATAATAATGAGAGAGATATGAATATGATAACACTCTCTGATTGACCACGGATGCTCATAGATACTTCCAGAGAATGGCAGTCTAGTTCCATCAGGGAAATACCAATCTCCACGATGAAAACCATCAGCACTACTACAACATGTCATGAGGTCAGTGATACACTGAACACTGTCACTAACACTGCCAGCACTCCCCACTAGACTGAGGTCCACATAGGAATGGTTGGCCAGAGTCTGGCCATCGAAGGAGACATAAGGAAAGGTCTGGCAGTACACCAGAGACCAGAACAAGCCCAGGAGCAACAGAACAGCTAGAGCCATTCTTGAAGTAAAAAACTAGTCTAGCTATCAAAATGTGAAAAGCTATCTGCTGTCAGGTACAGAGGTTTCACAATAACATCCGGTAAGAGAGTGGCTAAATTAGCAGTGAGCAATGCTGTGCACACATCCTACACAAACATATTCCACACAGTGTGACTATACTGAGGTCCATGGAGGAGTTGACCCAGTAGAAAGCATTGACAGTCATAAGAAAGGGCTCAGAGTAAACCAAGGACTACAATTAGCTATTGCTGTCTTCGAAATCCCATATTAGTTCTACTAATGGTGGTAGGTACATAATATTGCTAGGCAGGTGGATAAAAAGTTAATTATCATACACTGTCGTGGACAGATCTATTCTAGTTTCACTCTATTCGCACACTCTCCATAGTACCTTAGGACACATTAGTAACATACCTCCACTGGCAGTATACAGTCCCACATAGACTGTGTCTCTCACTGAGATGTCAGTATCATCATAGACATCATTAGTATGAATATCACAGCGATAGATACCAACTGGTGAGTTAGCATTGTCCCTACGATGTAGATCAACTCTCTGAGCTCCACGTTGTTCAAAGATATCACCATAAAACAATGGCAGTCTAGTTCCATCAGGGAAGTACCAGTCTCCACAATGGGAACCTTCCCTACTAGTACAACATGTCTTCAGGTCAGTGTAGCACCGACAATGCCACTACCACTGAGATCATTCCCCACTAGACTGAGGTCCACATAGGAATGGTTGGCCAGAGTCTGGCTCATGAAGGAGACATAAGGAAAGGTCTGGCAGTACACCAGAGACCAGAACAAGCCCAGGAGCAACTAGAGCCATTCTCAAGGTGAAAACAGTCTAGGTATCAAAATTTAAAACTCTCTTTTGTTGTAATAACTACTGGCACATCTTGGATAGAAAGTGGCTAAAATGGCAATGAGCAATACCCTGCACATCCTACGCATTCCGCATAGTCACTGCATTTACTACCAGCTATATTGAGTTCCACATACGTAGGAGTTAACCCAGCAAAAGTGTCTTTCCAGCATTGACGGTCATAATAAAGGGTCTCAGAGTACACCAAGGACTATAATTAGCCGTAGCTGTGTTCGAAAATAGTAGCTATCCCCATATTAGTTCTAATGGTGTTAAGTATATACAACGTGGCTAAAAGAATCCTCATAATATCACTTTCTTAATTATGGACTGATCTATACTAGTTTCACTCTCTTTTTTCTATGCTTAGTCACACTCACTATAATACCTCAGGGAAACATTATATAGTAACATACCTCCACTGCCAGTATACAGTCCCACATAGACTGTGTCTCTCACTGAGATGTCAGTATCATCGTGGGCAGCATTAGTTGGAATAGCACAGCGATAGATACCACTAGTTGGCGAGTTAACATCACTGGTACGACGTAAGTCAACTCCCTGAGATACACGAACCTCAAAGGTATCAATATTAGGTCCATTGAAATGCACTCTAGTTCCATTAGGGAAATACCAGTCTCCACGATGAGGACCACCAGCATAACGACAACATGTGGCCAGGTCAGTGATACACTGAACACCTTCACCACCTAATTCAGGTCTCCCCACTAGACTGAGGTTCACATAGAAATGGTTGGCCAGAGTGTGGCCATAGAAGGAGAGACGGGGAAAGGTCTGGGAGTATACTTCTCCCACAGACCAGCAGAACATCATCAGCCATAGGCAGTGAACCACAGCCATGTTTCTCTATTCACACTATACTGCTGAATGAACTGTAGCATGAGCCAAAAGGAAGTAATTGATTATCACTACTAGCTACTATCTTGTACCCACATTATATGGAGAGGGTATAGATTACTCTTAATAAAACATCCAGCAAAACGGAAGTATTGATTATCCTACAACATGTGGTCAGGTCAGTGATACACGGAACACCTTCACCATCACCAGGTGCATCAGGTCTCCCCACTTGACTGAGGTCCACATAGGAATGGATGGCCAGAGTCTGACCCATGAAGGAGACATAAGGAAAGGTCTGGCAGTACACCAGAGACCAGAACAAGCCCAGGAGCAACAGAACAGCTAGAGCCATTCTCGAGGTAGCTAACAAACTAGTCTAACTATCAAAAAGTAAAACTATCTGCTGTTACAGAGGTTCACAACAACATTAGGCCTGAATTACATCCGGTAAGAGAGTGGCTAAAATAGCATTGAGCCATGCTGTGCGCATATCCTACACAACCATATTCCACACAGTGTGACTATACTGAGGACCATATAGGAGTTGACCAGCAAAAAGTCTTTCCCAATAATTGTTGCATTGACGGTCACATGAAAGAAGTAAACCAAGGGCTACGATTAGCCATAGCTGTCTTCGAAATCCCATGTATATTATATAGTTCTACTAATGGTGGTAGGTAGGCAGGTGGCTAAAAGGTTAATCCTCATTTTACACTGTCATGGACAGATCTACTCTTACTCTCTTTTATTCTATGCCACTGGTTAACATTAGGACACATAAGTAACATATATACCTCCACTGGCAGTATACAGTCCCACATAGACTGTGTCTCTCACTGAGATGTCATTATCATCATGGACAGCAATAGTTGGAATATCACAGCGATAGATACCAGTTGGTGAGTTAGGAGTTACCGTTACGACGTAAGTCAACTCTCTGATGTTCACGAACCTCAAAGGTATCAACACGAGATGCAGCAAAAGGCAGTCTAGTTCCATCAGGGAAATACCAGTCTCCACGATGAGGACCAACAGTATGAGTACAACATGTGGTCAGGTCAGTGATACACTGAACACCTTCACTCACCACCATCAGGTCTCCCCACTAGACTGAGGTCCACATAGGAATGGTTGGCCAGAGTCTGGCTCATGAAGGAGACATAGGGAAAGGTCTGGCAGTATACTTCTCCCACAGACCAGCAGAACAACATCAGCCATAGCACAGTGAATCACAGCCATGTTTCTCTATTAGGCCACTTATTGTTGATTACTGCAATGCCAGCGAAAAGGATTACAATAATCCGGATAATATATCCACCCACACATAAGGAGACTTATGGAATGGCATTATAGTTTTACTACAGCCATTGTTAGAGATAATGCTCCAAGATTATACTCAGCAAAACTACTGAAGAATTGATTATGCTACAAGCAAACTATCTTATTTTCTCTCGCTCCATCATGAAGGATTGAGGATGAAAATGGACTATAACTGATGGTCATAAATTATATATTATTATAGTGTACAAATCTTTGAACAACTACAAAAATACGAAATGCAGTTCTAGTGTTAAGTCAAGTTTTGTCTCTTCTTCTCGTTTTCAATGATTCCCCCGATATCTCTGATCATGATGTCGACTATATTTGGAAGGTCATAGTGTGGGGTCCAGTCTAGAGCTTCCCTGGCAGCAGAGTCCAGTAGTGTATCTGGCCAACTGTCAGCTGAGAGGGAGGGATGGGGGAAAGATGGAGGGGATATGAGTTATTTGTCGCATTACCCTAATAATGAAAAGTACTAAAGTGCAAACCCTAAGCGAACTGCGCATGCGCGGTACCACTAATTGATGGGCTGGGCTTTTCTTTTCTTTACTCGTTGTATCGCGCTAGTAGCTCGCGGAGAGTCTGGCACGGGCTAGCTACAGTAGTAGATTGCATGCGGGAGTCGATACATGGCCTTCGTTGTGACATCTTGTGCCTTCAAGATACACAGAGCGCGCGGACGCAGTACCTTATTGGCTTGTTCACTTGGTTTTCACGCCATAACTTTAGAACGCAGTAGTTTGACGAAAATCGCCTTTTTAAAAATCAACCTAGTGTAGCACTGAACCCGATCATATCGATATTTACCTGATTTCGTGCGCGCGGTGGCAGAAAACGTGGTAACAGACTGAATGAAAAGCACTGAAGTGCAAACCCTCGGCGCATGTGACGCGCACGCGTCAGTAAACGCATGCGCCGTACCACTAATTGATGGGCTGGGTTTAATTTTAGCTGTTACTCGTGGTCTAGTCTCTTGCCAGCTTACGCAGAGTCTGACGCGGGCTAACTACACTACTAGATAGCATGCGAGAGGCGATACACGCCCTGCGTTACATCTTCTGGTGCCTCCGAAGTACGCAGAGCACGCGGATCGATCCGACTGTGGTAAGCCATCCCGTCCGTTGTGTATTTGCATATTGGCTTTTTCGCGCTCTAGCTTTGCAACGGAGCATTTTCAGAGAAAGCCGCCTTTATTTTCTGACCTTCGTCGCCCGTTGGGTAGATGGTATCGTTTCTGGGACGAACAGACGTTCGAGGAGTGAGATATAGACAAACAGACAGACCCAACTACAGTACCCTCGCTGCGCATGCGCGCCGAGGGTAATGACAGACTGATGACAGACACACTTTTACGGGACAACTACCGTAACCCTCGCTGCGCATGCGCGCCGAGGGTTAACCCTTACGGCGCTATGGGTGTTTCCTTAACCAAGCAGAAATTGATGTACATAATATTAACGCCTAGTATTATAGGGCTATATAAATTCTTATGGACTTATGGAAGCTCTGTGCATATATATATGTAAAACGCTGGCAAAGGCTTAATAAAGGTCCTTATTGGCAGACAGCAAGCTCAACCCAGTCGCATGAATAAATTGTGTCATGTAAATGGTGTAATTTTGCACTTGTGTTCGTTCACTCGCATTGTTTGTGCTTTAGTAAAGCCTTGTTTTAAATTTAAACTTCATGTGTCTCTCTCTATAGTTTTTCTTTCTCCTTGTGAAATCATGAGTCGTTTTGTTTATTATGCAGATGACATCTATAAGCTCTTTGCTACATAGAGAAGTGTCCTTTATCAGTTAGTATTATAATGTACTACTGAAGCAAATGCAACACAAATAGTTATCCAATAAATTGACCAGATATTTTCGCTATTATATTATGATTGACTGAAATGGAGGAACCTCAGTTCCAATTTCACACATCATAACAACAGTACAGACTGCTTGCCTACTATTAACACTACAGCAGCATAAGAACATGGAGTAACTATACAACAAAACACTAGTATATATAGCTAGTACTTTCACTACAGTTATGAACTAACAGTACATCTCAAAGTTCGCAGAATACACGACACACTCTAAGAGTACAGTTTCAGCAGCCTCCAAGACGACAGACATCCTCTCCGAGGTTCCTCACAGCACAGACATTGAGTGTCTGAGTGATCCTCTCTCCCAGTCCCTGGTCATGCCTGGTTCCAGTCTCACACTCTTCTTCATCGAGACTGGAGATAGAGGTGGGGCAGGAGGGACTCACCCTCACCAGCAGACCGTCGAGGACGAGGGAGGGGCCCGTGGACACCCAACTCTGAATAATGCCCACCAGGTAGGTGGAGTTTGTGGTGGGGAAAGGGTTAACCAGAGTTGTGCGGTAGGTTGTTTTAGTGGGGTTGCCATGGCAAAGAAACAATCCTGGCCTCAGAAACGTACGTGTTAAACTGTAGCACTCAGGGCAGCTTTTACGTATGATGTCAATCAAGTACAACTGTAGCTGTTCTTCAATGGCACGAGCAATCTTCTTGAACTAAGAAATAGAACAAAAAAGTGAGCAATCTTGCTCTATAAAAAACAACAAACTTACTACTGAGTCGAGGCAGTAGTAAAATGGCCCAAACTGAATCTGAAAGACACCCTTATCTGTAGAGAGAAACCACTAAATCCGAAACCAAAGACTAACAACTCCTTTACCGAAAGTAAAGATTGCTACAGTCTGGTTTGGGATGACATCATCTGGAATTATGTAATGAAGAGTGAAGTTGTGAACGTAAATGTCAGTAAGAGTGATGTCATCTTCCAGAACAATGTCAGCAAAAGTCACTCGTGAGTAAACCGTCTCATACTGTCTCATAATTATAGTGGAGCAATAGACAGTGTAGATGATGGAGGTGGAGAGGTAGACACTGTCACTCCAGAAGATCCTGACTGTTGTGCCATTCACTGGGAGGAACCTGACTCCTTCCGGTTTATCTGTAGGTATGAACACACTTTTTGCTGCAGTAACAACTTCTGCAGGAAAGAAACACACTTTAAATGACATTAGTCAAGTAGAAAGTTTTTTTAGAAATTCTGCCACTAGCCACTAAAAAACGCATGTCCCAGGCTTTAAATACTATTGGCACCATTCTGGACTGCTGTCACACCACTTGGAGGTGGGGGACCTATACTATATAATTATTTGTAGCTACTGGGTCATACCTGCAGGAAGAGTTATCCTAGCAGAAGCATTAGAGGGTTTGTTGTTAGTCACAATACATGTGTATTCTCCTCCAGTAGTCACATTCAGAGTGTGGGTGTACTGTGCAGTCACTGGGTCATTCAACACAGTCTGGGCTCCTTGGGTGACAGTGGCGGAGTCTCTGGTCCAAGTGACAGTGGTAGCAGGTCCACCAGTGGAGATACAGGTGAGGGTTTTTGTGTAAAAATCATATGTCACACCTCCAGGTATTGTAACATCACCTACATAATTGTAAACAGCATCTACACTTAGCAGCATTGTTGGCTTGAGGTATACGTAGCCAAGGAATGGTAGACCAGATAACAAAGAGTATTGGGAATACAGTGGCCCAGACAGTGTGTGTTGGTAAACCATTAGTGAAGGACGTGTTCCACAAAGCAAGAAAAACTGATGTACCAAAAGTGCCTCCCTCTTTCACTGAGACATCCTCACTACTAAATATCACAGTGACAGATAGAATGGAAGGACTGAAGAGACAAATCAAACACGAAAATTATATTTTAGGTCCATAAATACTGGTTAACCAGTGGCAGTCTTGTTTATTGGGACTCTTCCAATTAGCATTACCTCCACTGCCAGTGTACAGTCCCACATAGACTGTGTCTCTCACTGAGAATATGTAATTATCATCATGGACATCATTAGTTGGAATATCACAGCGGTAGATACCAACTGGTGGGGTAGCACTGTTCCTACGACGTACATTAACTTTCTGAGAACCACGATGTTCATAGATATCATATCCAGAGAATGGCAGTCTAGTTCCATTAGGGAAATGCCAGTCTCCACGATAAGGACCATCAGTACCACGACAACATGGGCTCAGGTCAGTGATACACTGAACACTGTCACTGTCACTACCACTGCCATCACTCCCCACTAGACTGAGGTTCACATAGGAATGGTTGGCCAGAGTCTGACTCATGAAGGAGACATAAGGAAAGGTCTGGCAGTACACCAGAGACCAGAACAAGCCCAGGAGCAACAGAACAGCTAGAGCCATTCTCGAGGAACAAAACTAGTCCTCTGTTGTTACAATATCTACTTACACATCCACATCCTGGATGGAAAGTGGCTAAAATAGCAGTGAGCAATTACCCTACACATCCTACGCATTCCACATAGTCACTGCTACCAGCTATATTGAGTTCCACATACATAGGAGTTAACCCAGCAAAAAGTCTTTCTTTTTCAATATTCATGGCCATAAGAAAGGGTCTCAGAGTAGCTACACCAAGGACTATAATTAGGACACATTAGTAACATACCTCCACTGGCAGTATACAGTCCCACATAGACTGTGTCTCTCACTGATCCGTCAGTATAGTCACGGACAGCATTAGTTGCAATATCACAGCGATAGATACCAACTAGTGAGGTGGGATTGTTATGGCGACCTAGATAAACTCCCCGACCAGCACGTTGCTGATAGATATCACCATTTCCTGAGAATGGCAGTCTAGTTCCATCAGGGAAATACCAGTCTCCACGATGAGAACCCTGACTACTAGTACAACATGTGGCCAGGTCAGTGATACACTGAACACCTTCACCATCAAAATAAGGTCTCCCCACTAGACTGATGTCCACATAGGAATGGTTGGCCAGAGTCTGGTCCATGAAGGAGACATAAGGAAAGGTCTGGCAGTACACCAGAGACCAGAACAAGCCTAGGAGCAACAGAACAGCTAGAGCCATTAATGCCAAGAAGTAGCTACTCTAGCTATCACAAGTCACTTGTTGCAGACTGAAATTCACAAGTACGGCTTAAAAACAACAGTGAGCGTGTCTTACACATCCTACACAAACAGAAGCATTCCACATAGTCACCGTTACTACTGTTCACCAATATAGACTGAGGTTCACATATTGTTTGCCATTCCCTGCAAGGCAAGGACTGACAGACTCAACAAGTACACGAATTACTTAGTGGTGGTCACCTTGTTTTGCATTGACATACTACACACAGTCCTAGTGCAATTAATCATTGCTGTGTTTACTGAGGTTGTGGCCCCTTATTTATCTGGGTTAATCAAGCGACCATTAATTAGCTCTAACTTAGTCTTTTCATGAGAACACCACTGTGCATTTCTTAGAAGGGAACATACCTCCACTGGCAGTATACAGTCCCACATAGACTGTGTCTCTCACTGAGATGTCAGTATCATCATGGACAGCATTAGTTGGAATATCACAGCGATAGATACCAGTTGGTGAGTTAGCATTGTTTACGACGTAAGTCAACTCTCTGAGATACACGAATCTCAAAGGTATCAATACTAGATGCAGAAAAAGGCAGTCTAGTTCCATCAGGGAAATACCAGTCTCCACGATGAGCACCATTAGCACTAGTACAACATGTGGTCAGGTCAGTGATACACTGAACACCTTCACCACCATTAGGAAGATCAGGTCTCCCCACTAGACCGAGGTCCACATGGAATGGTTGGCCAAAGTCTGACCCATGAAGTAGACATAAGGCTGGCAGTATACTTCTCCCACAGACCAGCAGACCATCATCAGCCATAGCAAAGGAATCACAGCCATGTTCTCTCTAATTGCTGATTACTGCAAATGCCAGCAAAAATGATTACATATCCCACATAGCTACCATACTTACAGAGATTAGAGTGAAGATTACTCAGCAAAACAGAATTGATGATCTATCCTACGAACTATCTTATCCCACCACATGAAGGAGGATGAAAATTGACTAGAAGTCATGGTCAGAAATTATAGTGTACTGTTTAACAAGAAAATATACGAAATTCCGATATTGCAGTTTTAGTGTTTAGTCAAGTTTTGTTGCAAGCACTGAAATGGAGGGAACCTCAGTTCCAATTTCACACATCATACTACAGTACAGACTGCTTGCCTACTATTAACACTACAGCAGCATAAGAACATGGAGTAACTATACAACAAAACACTAGTATATATAGCTAGTACTTTCACTACAGTTATGAACTAACAGTACATCTATAAGTTCGCAGAAAACACGACACACTCTAAGAGTATAGTTTCAGCAGCCACCAAGACGACAGACATCCTCTCCGAGGTTCCTCAGAGCACAGACATTGAGTGTCTGAGTGATCCTCTCTCCCAGTCCCGGGTCATGCCTGGTTCCAGTCTCACACTCTTCTTCATCGAGACTGGAGATAGAGGTGGGGCAGGAGGGACTCACCCTCACCAGCAGACCGTCGAGGATGAGAGAGGGACCCGTGGACACCCAACTCTGAATAATGCCCACCAGGTAGGTGGAGTTTGTGGTGGGGAAAGGGTTAACCAGAGTGGTGCGGTAGGTTGTCTTGGTAGGGTTGCCATGGCAAACAAACACCCCCTTTCTGAAAAAGCTCTGGGTTAAATTATAGCATTCGGAGCAACTGTTACGTATGATCTCAACAACGTAAGACTGTAACTCTCTCTCGATAATAGCAGCAACTTTCTTGAACTGCAAAACAACAATGGTTATAATAGGGCATTTTTGCAATCTTACATTCTCAGAGACTTACTTCCCAGCTGAGGCAGTAGTAGAAAGGCCCAAACTGAATCTGAAGGTACACTTTGTCTATGTCTATACAGGGATAAACTATTTATCACACACCACAAAAGCATCTCTCTCTAAACTTTACCAAAAGTAAAGGTTGTCAATGTTGAAGGGTTACTCCCTGGCGAAGGGATGACATCACCATAATAGAGCGTAAAGTTGTGCACATAAGAGGTACAAGTGAGGATGATGTCATCTTCCAACACAATGTCGACTGAGGTCACTCCAGGTGGGTAAACCCTCTCATTTTTCCTAACAACATTCGTGGAGCAATAGACAGTGTAGATGATGGACGTGGGGAGATGTACACTGCCACTCCAGGAGATCCTGACTGCTGTGGCATTCACTGGGAGGAACCTGACTTCTTCCGGTTTATCTGTAGGTATGAACACACTTTTTGCTACAGTAACAACTTCTGCAGATAAGAAACACACTTTGCTGCAGTGAGAAATAAAATGAAATTAGTCAAGTAGAAACTTTCTTTTGGAAATCCTGTTCATAACCACTAAACCTTGTCCTTGGCTTTAAATTCCTTACCATCATCATCAGTAATGAGCACCTCTCCAACTGTTGTATTGAGAGTTACGAATGATGTCAGCTTATTGAGACTGATGGAAAATGTCTCCTCTGGTTCGTTCACCAGATCATCCGTGATGCTCACATTCACACAATGTCGGGTCTCACAGGGAGCAAATGTCAACACTTCTCTCACAGCTTCATAGTCTGAAGGGCTCACTAGAGCAAAGGGAGTATTGTATGCTAGTGATATTATTGTGTAGCTATACCTGCACTTCCATCAGTGGTTGAAAAGGTGACCTGAAAAGACTGAGTGCTGGGACATGGAGTATTGACTCCTACTGCAGTGATGCAGATCTCAACAGCTTCCTCTGATTCTGAGACAGTGTAGGATGTTCTCTCCAGTCCAACCACAAGTGCTGGGAGACAGAAAAAGCAACCATTAACAACTTCTGCAGGTAAAAAACACTTTAAATGACATTAGTCAATTAGAACACATTGTTTGCTGCAGTAACAACTTCTGCAGGTATATACTATGATATTAGTCAAGTAGAAAGTTTTTTTGCCAATTTTGCCACTAAGAACCGCATGTCCTTGGCTTTAAATACTATTGGGACCATTCTGGACCTCTGACACACCACTTGGAGGTGGGGGACCTATATAATTATTTGTATCTACTGGGTCATACCTGCAGGAAGAGTTATCCTAGCAGAAGCATTAGAGGGTTTGTTGTTAGCCACAGTACATGTGTATACTCCTCCAGTAGTCACAGTCAGAGTATGGGTGTACTGTGCAGTCACTGGGTCATTCAACACAGTCTGGGCTCCTTGGGTGACAGTGGTGGAGTCTCTGGTCCAAGTGACAGTGGTAGCAGGTCCACCAGTGGAGATACAGGTGAGGGTTTTTGTGTAAAAATCATATGTCACACCTCCAGGTATTGTAACATCACCTGCACAATTGTAAACGGCATCTAAAGGTGTATGTATTTATTAACCCTCGGCGCGCATGTTATAGTACTTGGTTTGTCCGTCTGTCCGTCTGTCCGTCTGTTACCACGTTTTCTGCCACCACGCGCAACAAACAGGTAAAATAGCGACACCAACGGGTTCAGCGCTACACTGGCTTGATTTTAAAAATGGCGATTTTCGTAAAAGTGCCGCGTTCAGAAGTTATGGCGTGAAAACCAAGTGAACAAGCCAATTGCTAATTAGCACTAGCTTACCTCGACCTTATCTATATACACAATTGTAAACAGCATCTAAAGGTATATTTAAACTTAGCAGCATTGTTGGCTTGAGGTATATACGTAGCCAAGAAAAGGTAGACCAGATAACAAAGAGTATCGGGAGAACAGTGGCCCAGAAAGTGTGTGTTGGTAAACCATCAGTGAAGGATGTGTTCCCCAAAGCAAGAAAAACTGATGTACCTACCAAAAGTGCCTCACTCTTTCACTGAGACGTCCTCACTACTAAATATCACAGTGACAGATGGAATGGAAGGACTGAAGAGACAAATGTGAACTAAACAAACATGAAAAGTTGTATTTTAGATCCATAAATACTGGTTAGCCAATGGCAGTCTTGTTTATTGTGACTCTTCCAATTAGCATTACCTCCACTGCCAGTGTACAGTCCCACATAGACTGTGTCTCTGTCACTTTCTCTCATTGAGTAGTCACTACCATCATGGACAGCAGTAGTTGGAATACCACAGCGATAAATACCAACTGGCGAGCATTGCATTAGCATTGTTCCTACGACGTACATTAACTCTCTGAGAACCACGACTCTCATAGATATCACCATAAAACAATGACAGTCTAGTTCCATCAGGGAAATACCAGTCTCCACGATGAGCACCCTGAGCACCACTACAACATGTGCTCAGGTCAGTGATACACTGAACACTGTCACTACCACTAAGATCATTCCCCACTTCACTGAGGTCCACACAGGAATGGTTGGCCAGAGTCTGGCCCATGAAGGAGACATAAGGAAAGGTCTGGCAGTACACCAGAGACCAGAACAAGCCAAGGAGCACCAAAACAGCTAGAGCCATTTTCCAGGTAAAAAAACTAGTCCAGCTATCAAAATTTAAAACTCTCAGTTGTTACAATAACTACTTACACATCCACATCCTGGATGGAAAGTGGCAGTGAGCAATACCCTACACATCCTACGCATTCCGCATAGTCACTGCATATACTACTATATAGTTGTATTGAGTTCCACATACGTAGGAGTTAACCCAGCAAAAATTTAAATCAACAAGTACGGGCCTAAAAACAGCAGTGAGCGTGTCTTACACATCCTACACAAACAGAAGCATTCCACATAGTACTGTTCCCACACTCTGAATAGGCAAGGACTCCAGACTCAGCAGGTACGCAATTACTGTAGCAAAGGCATATATCAAACACAGGCTAACAGCTAGTGGCAGGTTTTGGTCACCCTGTTTTACATATACTTGTATATTATGATTAAATCATTGTTGTGTTTACTTACGTATGTTGAGACCCCATTATTTAGCTTAGTCTTTCCATGAGAACACTATTATGCAGAGAACATACCTCCACTGCCAGTGTACAGTCCCACATAGACTGTGTCTCTCACTGAGATGTCATTATCATAGACAGCAATAGTTGGAATATCACAGCGATAGATACCAACTGGTGAGGTGGGATTGTTACGGCGACCTAGATACACTCTCTGATGACCACGATGCTCATAGATACTTCCAGAGAATGGCAGTCTAGTTCCATCAGGGAAATACCAGTCTCCACGATGAAAACCATCAGCACCACGACAACATGTTCTCAGGTCAGTGATACACTGAACACTGTCACTACCACTGAGATCATCTCCCACTTGACTGATGTCCACATAGTAATGGTTGGCCAGAGTCTGGTCCATGAAGGAGACATAAGGAAAGGTCTGGCAGTATACTTCTCCCACAGACCAGCAGACCAACATCAGCCATAGGCAGTGAATCACAGGCATGTTTCTCTATTTCTGATTCTGCACCGCCAGCAAAAATGATTACATATCCCACATACCATACTTACACACAAAAGGTGGGTCATAGAATGGCTTTACTATAGCTATTGTCAGAGATTAGAGTAAACCACTCTAATATTACTCAGAAAAACAGAGAATTGATCATCCATATATAATATACAAACTATCTTATCCACCCACATGAAGAAGGATGAAAATTGACTATAAGTCATGGTCAGAAATACAAATCAACTATATACAAAAAATATGAAATACAGTTCTAGTTTTTAGTCAAATTTTGTTTCTTCTCGTTTTCGACGATTCCCCTGATATCTCTGATCATGATGTCGACCATATTTGGAAGGTCATAGTGTGGGGTCCAGTCCAGAGCTTCCCTGGCAGCAGAGTCCAGTAGTGTATCTGGCCAACTGTCAGCTGAGAGGGAGGAGGGATGGGGGGTGGAAAGAAAGATGGAGGGGATTATGAAAAGGAAGTTAGAGAAGCTTTTTCATCAAAACACCCTCATAAAAAGGGCTGGCAAGGCAAACCCAACCTAAACATCTGAATTTTGTTTGCATGTAACATTAGCTAATGATCAAAACACGCTTAAACCCCTACGCAATTTTGTGTTGCGCTCTAGCAGCACCTTTGTTCAAAATTAAAGGTGTCTTTTCGTTTTTCTTTCTCCTTGAAGAAAGATGAAAGAAGAAAGATGGAGGGAAATATGAAAACTGCACCACAAAACACGAGTATATATAGCTAGTAGTTTTACTACAGTTATGAACCTAACTACATCTAGAAGTTCGCAGAATACATGACACACTCTAAGAGTATAGTTTCAACAGCCACCAAGACGACAGACATCCTCTCCGAGGTTCCTCACAGCACAGACATTGAGTGTCTGAGTGATCCTCTCTCCCAGTCCCTGGTCATACCTGGTTCCAGTCTCACACTCTTCTTCATCGAGACTGGAGATAGAGGTGGGGCAGGAGGGACTCACCCTCACCAGCAGACCGTCGAGGACGAGGGAGGGGCCCGTGGACACCCAACTCTGAATAATGCCCACCAGGTAGGTGGAGTTTGTGGTGGGGAAGGGGTTAACCAGAGTGGTGCGGTAGGTTGTTTTAGTGGGGTTGCCATGGCAAAGAAACAATCCTGGTCTCAGAAAAGTACGTGTTAAACTGTAGCACTCGGGGCAACTTTTACGTATGATGACAATCAAGTACAACTGTAGCTGTTCTTCAATGGCACGAGCAATCTTCTTGAACTAAGAAATGGAGCAAAGAAGTGAACAACCTTGTTTTACAAAATTAACTTACTACTGAGTCGAGGCAGTAGTAAAATGGCCGAAACTGAATCTGAAAGACACCCTTATCTGTAGAGAGAAGCCACTAAATCCAAAACCAAAGACTAACAATTCCTTTACCGAAAGTAAAGATTGCTACAGTCTGGTTTGGGGTGACACCATCTGGAATTATGTAATGAAGAGTGAAAAAGTGAATGTAAATGTCAGTAAGAGTGATGTCATCTTCCAGAACTATGTCAGCAAAATTCACTCCAGGTGGGTACACCCTTTCATACTGTCCCATAATTATAGTGGAGCAATAGACAGTGTAGATGATGAAGGTGGAGAGGTGGACACTGCCACTCCAGAAGATCCTGACTGCTGTGCCATTCACTGGGAGGAACCTGACTTCTTCTGGTTTATCTGTAGGTATGAACACACTTTTTACTGCAGTAACAACTTCTGCAGGTAAGAAACACACTTATTAGTCAAGTAGAAAGTTTTTTGGAAATTCTGCCACTAAAAGCCGTATGTCCTTGGCTTTAAATACTATTTGGACCATTCTGGACTGCTGTCACACCACTTGGAGGTGGGGGACCTATACTATATAATTATTTGTAGCTACGGGGTCATACCTGGAAGAGTTATCCTAGCAGAAGCATTAGAGGGTTTGTTGTTAGACACAGTACATGTGTATACTCCTTCAGTAGTCACAGTCAGAGTGTGGGTGTACTGTGCAGTCTCTGGGTCATTCAACACAGTCTGGGTTCCTTGGGTCACAGTGGTGGAGTCTCTGGTCCAAGTGGCAGTGGTAGCAGGGCCACCAGTGGAGATACAGGTGAGGGTTTGTGTGTTAAAATCATATGTCACACCTCCAGGTATTGTAACATCACCTAAACAATTGTAAACAGCATCTAAAGGTGTACATACACTTAGCAGCATTGTTGGCTTGAGGTATACGTAGCCAAGGAATGGTAGACCAGATAACAAAGAGTATCGAAAGTATATACAGTGGCCCAGAAAGTGTGTTTTGGTAAACCATCAGTGAAGGATTGCTCCCCAAAGCAAACTGATGTAGCTACCGAAAGAGCCTCCCTCTTTCACTGAGACATCCTTACTACAAAATATCACAGTGACAGATAGAATGGAAGGACTGAGTGAAGAGACATGATAGGTGAACTAAACAAAAGTGAAATATTATATTTGAGGTCCATAAATAATGGTTAGCCAATGGCAGTCTTGTTTAAAGGGACTCTGTGATTTATTCCAGTTAGCATTACCTCCACTGGCAGTATACAGTCCCACATAGACTGTGTCTCTCACTGAGAGGTCAGTATTATCATGGACATAATTAGTTGGGATATCACAGCGATAGATACCGCCTGGTGAGTTAGGATTGTTCCTACGACGTATGTCAACTCTCTGAGCTATACGTTGCTGATAGATATCACCATTTCCAGAGAAAGGCAGTCTAGTTCCATCAGGAAAATACCAGTCTCCACGATAATGACCATCACCACTAGTACAACATGTGCCCAGGTCAGTACGACACTGAACACTGTCACTACCACTGGTCCCCACTAGACTGAGGTTCACATAGGAATGGTTGGCTAGAGTCTGGCCCATGAAGGAGACATAAGGAACGCTCTGAGAGTGAGCCAGAGACCAGAACAAGCCCAGCAGCACCAGAACAGCTAGAGCCATTTCCAACACACTCACTTGATATTAAGAAGTACGGCCTAAAAACAGCAGTGAGCGTTTTTACGCATCCTACACAAACAGAAACATTCCACAGTGTCATGGTGGTTACTACTGTTCTGGACTGAGGTTCACTTGTCATTTGTCACTCCCTGCAAGGCAAGGAGAGCCAGACTCAGCAGGTACACAATGACTGTAGCAAAGGCATATTTCAAACAGAGACTAGCAGCCAGTGGCAGATTTTGGTCACCCTGCTTTGCATATACTACGCACAGTCCTTGTAATTGTATATACAATGATTAAATCATTGTTGTGTTTACTTAGGTTGAGACCCCATTATTTTTTCTGGGTTAACGAGCATTATAGTTTAATCTTTTTATGAGAACACCACTGTGCATTTCTTGGCAGGAACATACCTCCACTGGCAGTATACAGTCCCACATGGACTGTGTCTCTCACTGAGATGTCATTATCATCATGGACAGCAATAGTTGGAATATCACAGCGATAGATACCAGTTGGTAAGTTAGGATTGTTCCTACGACGTAGCTCTACTCTCTCAGCTGCACGAAACTCATAGGTATCACCACCTCCAGAGAATGGCAGTCTAGTTCCATCAGGGAAATACCGCTCTCCACGATGAGCACCATCAGTACCACGACAACATGTGGGCAGGTCAGTGATACACTGAACACTGTTACTACTACCGCCATCATTCCCCACTAGACTGAGGTCCACATAGGAATGGTTGGCCAGAGTCTGGCTCATGAAGGAGACACAAGGAAAGGTCTGCTGGCAGTACACCAGAGACCAGAACAAGCCCAACAGCAGCAGAACAGCTAGAGCCATTCTCGAGGTAGCTAATAAACTAGTCTAGCTATCAAAATTTAAAACTCTCTTTTGTTACAATAACTACTTACACATCCTGGATGGAAAGTGGCTAAAATAGCAGTGAGCAATTACCCTCGACATCCTACGCATTCTGCATAGTCACTGAAATTACTACTTTATAGCTGTATTGAGTTCCACATATATAATATGTAGGAGTTCACCAAGCAAAAATATTTTCCCGCCATATATAGTACCATAGGACACATTAGTAACATACCTCCACTGGCAGTATACAGTCCCACATAGACTGTGTCTCTCACTGAGATGTCAGTAACATCATGGACAGCATTAGTTGGAATACAACAGCGATAGATACCAGTTTGTGAGGCATTGTTCCTACGACGTAAATCAA